ATCAGGACTATTAAATTCATCATTGGCAGCCCTTGCAAGAGTATCTGCATTAACAGATGGTCCCAAGGGATTTATTGATTTAGTAGAGGGAGAAATATGGGTTGTAGACCTTAAAGTGCGAGTGCATATGGACGGAAAGATAAAACCACATCGGTGTAAGATAGGGGTTAGCATACTAAAATCTAAAACGAAGTAATGGAAACATTAATCTTTAATAATTGCACGAAACAGTAAAGATAAAAACCTACCATCTGGTATAATTCAAAGCTTAATCTTACTTGCAGCTAATTAAAACTTGAGTGAAGGCCTTATTCATAGCCATAATTAACAATAATTAATTAAATGCTGTGTCACTTTAAATTGGTTCGTTTTGTTCATTATATTTTGCGAGTCTTCGAAATGGTTGTTTCTTTTGCTTATAATTGTATTTAAGAATTTAATTTCTACCGCCTATGAAGGCACAAATTTATATTATTTAAAGTGGGGTGTGCGATAGACTTACCTCCACGTGGTGCACCCTGGACAACGTATACTCATACGCAAAAAGTCTATTAACCGGCAGTTGACTTCTCACTTCAAACTACCATCACCCCACTGTTTGTCATATTCGACCCCTTTCACAATGCTCACCTCACCTTTTATCTACCTTTATGTCTGTCTTTTTTACATCTTTGAAACACTCTTCTGTCCCCCCCCCCCCTACCTCGACCTTTTTCGCTTTGATGTTCCTCCTCTCTGTGAAGCCCGAAGCCAGCTAAAGGGATAGTGATAATTATCAAAACGCCCGGCATTTGATATAAATAATAAATGTTATTTAAAGTATGCCATCGATTTCAAGTGCAATTTGAAAACCCTATATAAATGTAAATATATCATGCTCTTTGATCGACTCACATTTTTATAATTTTGTTATTTATCGTATATTACTCAGTGTTTAGCATGTTGGACCGCCGTCTCTTGCTTCATGTTGGAAATTAAAGAAAGGATATTTTATAATTTGAAAAAATCATTTTTCTCTGTATTAATATAAAAGAATTTTTTAATTTTGATTGAGAAGAAATAGTGAATAAGGGTGTTATTGAGACAAATTAAATAATTTTTACAAGGAAATGTTCATCGATTTCCTTACTGATCTTTTACGTTTGGTGATCCATAAATATCCTTCTGCTTTAATGCACTGCAATAAAACAGAGGGTGAAACAAGTCATACTATTAGCTGATATCCGGCTCTCACTCGGTATATTTTCTACTGAGAAAGTAGTTTTATATAAATTTTGCTCTCGAGAATCTTGACCAAAATGAGTTCCCAAACAATCAGACGAATACTTGCAAGCTCCTGAGGAGTGAAACATGATAATTCCAACGTTCATATCGTAAAATCGTACTCAATTGTTGTATAAAATACTCATGGGAATGAAACAACGCTGATAAGTTATAAACTACCCCACCTTACCTCCTCCACGTTACCCTTTGATTTACTTTTAATCCCAGCACACCAGTTAAGCCGTTACCACTCTCATTTAGGAGAGCAGAAATGGCCTTTATTTAACATCACATCTAGTGATCTTGATTAGACAACACTTTATCTTTTGTTGGAACCCTTCCACAATGCTAGAATAGTCTCTTCCTTTTTCCCCAACGCCAACTAAGCCCCTGAGGAACGCAACTAATATAATTGTGAACTGTGGCATGTAAAAGTCAAGTCTCTTTCGTAACTAGAGCAGTCAAACGGTGATCTGTAAAGCAACCTCAATTCAATGAAAAAATATTGCGTTACTACACGCACACATTTCATCCTAAGGTGGGAGCTATATAATATATAACCTCAGCAGTTTTCCCTTGTGAGTAGCTGCTACGTGGGTATCTGCGTCTGCCACCAAGACAGCTTACAATCTTAGAATGTCTTCAAGAACGCATGTTCCTTTATAGTAAATAAAGACAGTAGCTGTAATCCTCACTAATAATTGGCATCTTCTAACTTATGAAAACCAAGGCTACCGAAACTGATATCACCCACCGCAGAAGGAAACCAAAATCGTCGCGTTTAAATAAATTCTGATACATCACTGTATGACAAAAGTGAAAAGATTTTAATTGTAATGCTATACATCAGCACGATCTTAAAAGCCACTTTTGCCCCCAGAAACCAATACTATAATTAACGCAAACATTGAAGGCTATTTACACAATCATTATTCACAGCACAAATTAATACAGGCAATTTTCATATCATCTTCCAAAAACCGCTCCACAGGAATAACCATTCCCTGAGTCTCAAGCGGGGGAAAAGCGTCCGCTTTCATAAGAAAGAGATAATTAGATCCCACATCCAATTTAGCAGAAGCCTCCTTATCGTACATGACCGATCGATAGCCATCTTGGCTACAAATACGTTTGGAAGTGGCAAACTGCCATTGCACAGCCGCTCCATTGGGCAAATTAGGGATCACAACCCAAACAATTAGAGCCTGACAAAGACACTGTCTACTCTCCTTCCGTTCTGACAAAGCATCGCAGACAGTTGTGTGGAACTGCTCCTTGGAACGATGTAGAGTTTCTATGCTTGTAGCGTAGACAACTGCATACGCTAGGTACTGCCAGCCACACTGCTCCATCGCCTAAAATGGTAAGAAAAAAATAATAAGATGTACAGTCAAGATCAGCAGTTATCGACGTGAATGGCCAACAAGGGGAACGACAGAAGCCTTCTAAGCGACTTTCATGAAAAATTAAGGTATTTAAATCGTACTAATTCCGAAATTTGTTGTTTGAAATCAATCAAAGCTCTTAATGTAAACCGTTGCTGAAAAAAGAGATGAAGTTATAGATATTAACTACCTGAGAGAAGACCGATATAAAGCAGAATTCATCCATGAAGTAGCTCGTTTTCGTCCAAAAGCTAAAGAGAGAACTCGACGTAATCACCTATTGGTTTTGTATTTAGTGATTGCCTTGACTCGAGCGACATGTCTAGACACGGGGGGAAGGTAGATTGTTTATAATCTAAACAAATCTACCCTTCCTAATTAAGTTGAGGCTGCCTTGGTGGATAGTTCACTACGAGGAACGGAAAATCTACGCCACTACACCTAATTCTCTACGCCAAATGTCTTCATCCATGCGGAGAACATATACACAAGACTTGGTTCTGTTTCCGATAAATTAGGAAAAGCTCAGTGTATATTATTTACTTATATCATTAGCCCATTAGCTGACTTCGAGATTCACAGAAAGGATGAATATCAAAGTGCGAAAAATTCGAGAGCGGGAACAGAAGAGTGATTCACAGATGTAAAAGAGACAGACATAAAGGTAGAGAAAAAGGTAAGATGAGTACTGTTGAAGTGGTAGAATATGACATACAGTGGGATCATGGTAGTTTGAGGTGAGAAGACAACTGCCGGTTAATAGACCTTTTTACCGTATGAGTATACGTTGCCCAGGGGGCACCACGTGGAGGTCAGTCTATCGCACACCCCCAGTGTATATTACCGTACTTGATATTATGCTATTGTATTTTTTAGGTTAATTACCAAGTAGAAAGATACCCAAAAAAGTCGAAAAAAATTTTGATGCTTCGAGTGAACAACCTAACTCCATTGAAAAATTCTGGATAATATACAATTCCATTTAATCTCATTCACTTTCACTTAAGCCTGGACAACAACAACAACAACAAACATTTTATTTTTAAAGAAAAGAAATTAATTCCATAAAAAATTTAAGCTTAAGAAAAAAACGCATAACCACCCCCCCCCCAAAAAAAAACAATTATGTAGTTACTCAAACGCCGATTACGTTCCCTTATAAGAGCGAAAAAGCGATTTTTCTTCGTCATGTCCTCACAATGTATGTATGTACGCAGAAGCAGACACATCAACATTTGCAACGCAGTGACCTTAGGTAGCAGCAGTACGCACAACAACATCCACTATAAATACATCCCCCAACGGAGTGAGCAAATACAAGGATAAGAAGAAGGATCAACGATGTGCCAACGAGGTGGAAAAGTGGGCAACATCTTCAGCGCTTTTGGCCAGGCATTCCATAATGTTAGTCAGGGCAATCCTTCTCAAGGGTGAGCTGTGATCTTATTTTTTTGTAATGAAAATAAATATTTAAGAAATGAGCACGGTCGATATAGTGGTACCCTTCAATGCTGCTTCCATTGATATATAATATCACGCAGTTCTTTTTCACTCGCGATTATTAATTTGGTCCTTCTACTAAATCTCATTTCCAATTCCTAACATATATTGCCGATCATATTCGAAAGGAAAATGACGAGCAAATGTTGGAAACAACTATAAAAAACCAAAGGCGTATTTGGTCATCTAAAACTCTCGTTCTATTTATTTATTTATTTATTTCAAATGGCAGGTGTTTTGATAACAGAGGGGAGGAGGAACATCAAAGTAGCAGAAAGTCGAGGGTGAGGGAAGGTTCATCAAAGTAGCAGAAAGTCGAGGGGTGGGGAAGGTTCATCAAAGTAGCAGAAAGTCGAGGGGTGGGGGACAGAAGAGTGATTCACAGATGTAAAAGAGACAGACAGACTGACACAAAGTCAGAAGAGCGATTCACAGATGTAAAAGAGGCAGACAGACAAGAAGGTAGAGAAAAAGATAAAATGAGTACTGTGGAAGGGGTCGAATATGGCATACAGTGGGGGACTTTTTTGCTCGGCTCTCTGAGCTAAGATCATGTGTAGTAACTCCCGTTTTATCTAACTTTAAGAAACTACAACTGCAACCCAATGCGGGGTGGTAACTGTGGTCCTTGCCTGAGCCCAAATGGATGCTGCGGGCAGAACATTCCACCCTTCGTTCAAGGCAATTGGCCCAGAGGCAACTCATCCACTTCGAGGACGCTTACCAACATGCACAGTGGCCCCGTAAGAATCGGATAATATATAAATAAGTTCTTCTGCCAAACAAACCCCAATCTGAACTTGTTTTAATCCTAATGGTATTTAACCGCTAAATATAACTATCCTTAAAGTTTACATTAATTTAGGAATCGGTTGAGACAACGTTTCGGGTAGAGAATAATTGTGAGGCCTTTTAAGCTCATCCATAAATTGACGACTTGGGGAAAAAATAAATGGAAGTTCTTATTAAACCCACAGTTTGAATTAATGATAAATAGCACAATATGAGTAGCAAGATAGTAATCAATTTCTAATACTTCCAACTAATTGGTTTATCACGAAGCAGATAATACGAGTTTGAAGGCCTTGAAAAGTAAAAAAAAGTGGATGACGACCATGATGACGATAGGCTATACAGCAGGAAGCGAATGAAAGCTAAAGCATAGGTAGAAAACATTGATGAGGAACCCTTGCCGCATTACAGGAACATAGGCTCAATCTTTGTGCAAGTACTCAAATCAAAAGTGGTACAAATTTAAGGTTTCTTATACGAAGATTCAAATTAGATAGCTCAAAGCTAGATCGACGAAGGTGTTCGGTTAAGATGGTGTGATTTGACTGCCCAGTCCAACACTTACAGTGATACAGGTCAAGAGATACTATCTATCAGTGGTTACTTGGTGTCATCCTCTCTCAGTAAATATGCGTGAGATAATGAGATAATAACGAATAGGTCACCAAGTTGGCCGCTTCTTTTACTTTAAGACATTCGTGAAGTAAGAGTGGTTACAAAATCAAATGAATTTGTGCCAAGAGAAATTTCATAAAGGTTGTAAGAAAAAAATATAGATTTCAAGGTCAGACGTTCTACGGTACTACTTCTACCGTACATATTCAAGTGTCATCCAACTAATTATGGTTTAAAATGACTTCTTCATTAAGACATAAATTGGTAGAATAAGTGTAAAATGAGAGAAACTAGGAAAATAAACAACGAAGAACCGTTTAACTTCATCCCGAAATCGGCTAAAACATCTAAAGGCACATTAACAGAAAGAAGATAAAATTGTAGCAAGCATGAACTATTTGTCCCATGCAAAATTAAAACTATATCCTAATTTCTTCCCTCTTATATTGAAATATTAATGATACACAGTCTGGAATGGCATCTATGAACCGGCTGAATACCCGTGAACTGAAGAAACCGCCGGGACGAAGAGCAAGACGAATATTATCTAACACACGAGTCCCTCCCCACCACTTTGCTGAATTTCCAATGAAATGTGCTTCGTCCAATCTTACCTCAACAAGTTATGATTGGTGGCGAATGAGGACATAAGGAAATAATGTGGCCAATTGAAAAAACGAACCTAGAAAGAAAAATATAACCCAGGAGACAATCCAACAAAGCCTGTGAAATCATTTTCAGTTAGTGGAATTAACAGGTAAAAAAACTGTCTGTGATATCACCCCGATTTCACGGGAAAAGAAGATTTGAGTGCGTAAGCTCTAATTTCCACAAAGTCATGCAAAATGCTTCCGACGGAAGTCTGAACTTTGCGTGTGAACTACGATATTATCGCCAAGGTAATTACCAAATCCGAGCTACATGGTTTGTGGCAAATCATAAACGAATCGGACCTAATTGGTCTGGACTGAATCACATTTAGGAGGATTTATTGAAAATCTCCGACGGAATGACAAATGGAAACAGAAGCAAAGTGAGATTTGAAGAAGTTGGCGAAATGATTACAAAAATTAACAGACTAGCTTACTAAACAATCTACAAAATAAAATTTCTGAAACAATTCTGTAAACAAATTTTACAGGAGAGAAGGACTTCTAACATTATTACAACTCGAAAGCTTTTGTTAGAAATTGATAGATATCCATGCTCGATCCTTTTTAGGTTAAAAAATAATAATGGCAAATGGAGTTAAGTAGGGGAAAATTCGGGGATAGAGATGTATCCTATGCTGCATTAAAAATAAAATAATACTATTTAAATTACATAAGTAGAAAAAAAAACATTACAAGAAGTAAATGGACCGTACCATGATAAGCCTGTGAACATGTCGTAGAGCAAGCCAACACTGTTGTTCAATGTGAAGTGGCAAACCATCTGATACCACTTCTGATACGGATGGAAGTTCTCCTGTCTCTGGCATCACACCGATTACACCAGAGAAGAAACAATCTTGGGAAAAGTACATCACTGCCTGACTATGGAACTGTGTGAGGGGAATCGCTGGAGCCCAGTGGGAAAGTGAACGAACTCGCATCGTCTCCATATTCATCGTGGATCTACCTTCTGGTGAAGCGAGAATGCAGGCGATTGAAACGACAACCCGAATATCCTTAGCAACCTAAATAACAAAAAATAGTAATAAAAAAGATTATCCTAAACACTGCATAATATGCCCCAGTATTATGCTCTCTCGTATTGCTCTGGGAAACTTTGCGGTCACGGATTAACAAAGAAGGTTTAGTTTTTGGGTTGGTATTAAAAATCTTCCTGATTCTCGCACAAAAAGGTGTTTTAGGTTAACATATATCAAAGATTAGTAGAAAGAAAAATTATAAAACGAAAAGAATAAATCAACAGTACCAGGTCCATTTTCGGACTGTCATGGCTAAAGCAATCAGGACTATCAAATGCAGCCACTAAGAGAAAGTGATGCGAAGCTGTCGAAGTTATGCGAATTTTGACAGGAAAGAAGGCAATGCTCTCACTCAATGAATGGAAGTACTGTTCCACAGACACAATGATCCATAAGAACTTACAGTGGCTAAATTCCCTTGAGTTCAAACCGTATTAGAGACAAGCATGATCAAAATGCTAGAATGGGAACTACATTGATGCTGTCAAATTTGCATGTGGTGCAATTTAGAGACGCTTTTCCAAAAAAAAAATAACGGGGGTACAAATGTCAACTATGCGGCCCATCCAGGCAGGAGATTTAAAAAGGGGAGGGGGATTTACCACGACTGATCGCACTCGTGGTAGAGAACTGGAGACAAGATAAATGATTGCTCTCTTACCCCCTGGTCCTAATCTATATATTTCGAAATGAAAAAAACACATTTGAACACGATTTCTACTAAGTATGGTAGAAAATAATCCGTAACTTATATTGAAAGCGATTTCCCTTGGCGATATGACTTTATACCACCTATTAAACTTTTTTGTTGGAATAATATAAAAGAGGCTCCACAGACAGTCAGTTTTAGTAAAAATCCAAGAAGACGCAAATGTTCAAATTGTGGGTAGTTTGAGGATAGCAATCTAGCAGCAGTAGACCTAGTCAACAATAGGGACAATTCATACTAAATGAGTGACGATAGTCAGTTTCTTGGATACTAACTGAGGCCACAATCCTAGGTTCTTAGAAGAAAAACTGCATAACCACAAATCAACTAGGCCAAGCATTAGAACATTACATTTTCACAGTATTCAAAGATAATTCTTAAACTCTGTTACCGTTTATCCGACAGCTGTAAGTGATGTTACAAAAGTTAAATCTTAGAAATTTGTAGCCAAAAGGCAGAAAAAAGACAAACTCACCCCAGCATTTGCATCGCAATCCCCAAACTGCTCGAAAGTACTTCGATTCAACGGTGTAGAAACACATAGGAAACTTGGAGGAGAATTTAACCTCGTTTCGAAGAGATTTCTAAATCCACAATCCACTGCTTTTTGAATATATTCATCCGAAATTTTAAGATTTATTGTCATAATGCAATGAAGAACATCATCAGCACTTGCAGTTGCCCGATTGAAAGATTTCCTACTTATAATCGTTTTCACGTGGGAACAAGCATGAAGAATGGTTTCGGCGGCAGACTCGTAGTTTGCTCCAAAAGAGTTGGCTGTAAGTACAGAAGTGGCCGGAAATTCGGGAGAAACAGGCATCTTTGATTCAACAATTGGAACTCCCAAAACATCCGCTGAGATTTCTTCCGTAACGGATTCTAGAAGATTCTCACATCTTTTCTCATTTGTCACAAAAGGGTGCCTGATTTCGCGATTTCCATCAACAAGGATAGATTTTTCAATACTGAGCAGATCTGTTGATTTGAGAACATCACTTTTATCCTTAATAAAATATAATTGACAATGAAAACAAGTTTCTCCATACTTCTAAGCGTAAGCCAGGGAAATGAAGATAAGCGACAGTAGAATATAAGTCGCTGGAATGGACTATTACTTCAGGAGGTTCAGTGGCAACAATTCTTTTGTGGAAGATGGGACAGTCAAAGGTGAATGTTTCAAATTCACCACCTTCTCCACAGGGATTCAATGAACATTCGGGGTCGGCAGCTAATTTAAATGCCCGTGGCATGAAGTCCGAGATCCACGTACCCAAATCACGTTTAACATCGAGACCGTAAGAGGCAATCTAAATCAAGTGTAAAATAAAGGAGAACGCTTTACCTTGACTATTCGTGCCAATACGTCAGATGCTATCATATCTAATAAAAGTTCCTTTTGGTTTCGTCGCCAGAGAAATGCCAACGAGTGCCACGAGAGTCTATTGCAGATGTTCTCAACTCGCTCCCGTTGATAATTTGAGAGAATAGCGCCAGAAAGTATAGCATTTATTTCGGGATGTTTTTCTTTTACTATACAGAGAAGATCATATAGATCTTCAACTTCATCATCAACCGAGACCTCATAATTCATAGAAGTACATTGAGCGCTTCGTCTGATTTCAGCCTGATAAAGGGGAAGATTAAGGGCATCAGCTAAATATTTGACGCCCTCGGTGCCGACAGATTGATACATATAGCTGTCAATTTCTACGAAGCTGGTGCAAATTTAAGAAAATACTAAGCTTACTTATTTTTAGATGGAGGCGGCTGCATATTAGCCAAAGCAACAATTTGATGACCCTGGGAGATGCAATCCATGATGGAAAATATACCATCTTTCCCACCGCTTATGAGAGCTACTACCTTGAACATGCCACACGAAAATGGGAGGTTAGGCTGAAATTTAGTGGCCCAGCAATTAATTCAGTCAAGGTCATGGTCAAATTTATTGACGGCCTTGGCCGGATTTTACATTTAGTTGGCTCCCTATTAAATGCCAAAAAATTATATATTTTATGATTTTTTCATTAATATTGTACCTTATCGTCTAATGTGTTTTCGAATTTTGTTTAACAGATTATTCGAAACACAGTTAAATAAGTGAATGAAAAGCCTGTGTTTATTAAACTCTGGGCAGTTTCGACACGAAGTTCTGTTAAGATTATGTTTTATCCGGCGCTAAAAAATGTAAAATTGTGTTTTGGATGTCAATTGATCTGATACAAGATGAAAAACAATGAGCAGCGTTATATATTTCATATAGCTTTCTACTCAGGCCATATTTTCTAAAAGAATACTAAGATTATTAACCAAATGACCAATTTTAAATTTAAAAAGCCAATCTATGTTAATTTGGTATGCTTTTTACTATTGGCATTAGTGTTCATTTTTATGGAACGTTCATTATTGTGCTATTTTGTTTATAAAGCATTTGATAGCTATCTGTATGTGATAATAAACAAGTTATGGTGACCTGATCCGCATAAAAGAAAAAAGTCATGTTTCTCATAATGGCAAGTTGCAGTTTTAAATAAATATAATTATTTGTTTAATGATAACCATGTCTGGTAATTTATGTTCCTCATGACAATGTGCATATGTATGTACATATATTAAAGTGCGCAAACAATTAATCAGACTCATTATTGGTCGATTTTCTAAACCATACATGTTTATTTTTTCATTTAAACAGGTGTTACTTATAATCTGTTACCTATTACACCATGCTAAAGCTCAAAACTCTTAGAAATTGATAAATATGATATCATCTAAATACGACAAATAGAGGAAAAGATCAGAGGGTTATGAAAAACATTCAAGTAACATATTTAAATATTGCCTTTAGGAGAACCAGATTCAGTTAATTTTCTTATAGGAATTTGATTTTCTTTGTTCCATTCGATTTTAAAAATTAAATTTCTGCCATTTATACATGATTTTTTGGGTTGGTATTTGTGGGACACGTCATCGCATGCCTGCACGCCAGGATTGGGAGGTGCGGCCGTACAACTCTGTGTGCAGCGATCGTACGATTGGGAGGTGCGGCCGTACAACTCTGTGTGCAGCGACCAGGGAGGTGCGGCCGTACAACTCTGTGTGCAGCGATCGTACGAAGAGTGGCCAACCATTGGCCTTTGTTTGTTTAACATAATCCGCCATCCTGATCATGATTTAGTCACCTGTGTGTACACTTTACTCACAATAACCCTACTGAATAAAAGTGTTCCGTGCTATACGTCTGTTTCCCTTATAGCTAGGCTATAGCTTGGCTATATCTGGGAGTCTAGCTAGATGAAGGATAATCTGCCACAGAGATTTCTGAGTCAGTCAGGCTTTATTTGTGTAACAATCCGCTACATATTATAGTTCAACGCCATTATTTTTTCTACTGCTATCAGGAATGGGTAAATATTCCTTATGTGGGTATCCCAAAGTGACCAAAGTTCATGGGATTTAATTAAAATGGATCTCCTACCATTTTGATCAATCAATACGTAAAAATAAGGAGTGTGTGATAGACTTACCTCCACGTGGTGCACCCTGGGCAATGTAAAATCATACGGCAAAAAGTCTAATAACTGGCGATTAACTTCTGGCTTAAAACTACAATCCCCCAACTGTACGCCATATTCTACCACTTCTGCGTTACTCATCCTACCTTTTCTCGGCTTTCGTATCTGTCTCTTTACACCTGTAAATCACTCTTCTGTTCCCCACCCCTCGACTTTCTGTTACTTTGATGTTCCTTCCCCTGTGAAGCCCGAAGTCGGCTAAAGGGCTAATGATAACTATCAAAACGCCTACCATTTAATATAAATAAATAAATATGTAAAAATAATAA